CACACTGCCGTGACACGCGCGGCTCCTTAGTTACGTGCAAGCACACAGCAGGAGCGGGAGGTGTGGGGAGAGCGGGCTTGGCTCGGCTCTCCTGCCCCGCCGGGCAGCCGGCTCTGGTCTGATTGGTTACCTTCGGACAGGTGAGGTGGTTTGGCTTTGTGGAGTCCAGCGCCTTGTGGGCGTCTTTCTCAAAGTCCGATTGGGAAAGGCGGCGTTGGGCGTTGTTGTTTTCTGGGACCTGCTGGCCGGAGCTGTGGTAATAAGTAGGCTGTGGCATTTTTGTGTATTAAGTGTGGAATAATACTACCCTGTGCCAGCTCGGGTTGCATTGCCCACCCCAAAGAAGGACAAAAACCTCTTTGAACTTGAGACTCTGTTCTAGCAATAGTTAACTTGTGAATGTGTAACCTAGTAGAAGAGCTGACTGTGTCTGAAACACAAAGATTTTAAGGTTAAAGGTTAACGGAGAATGGGCTTTTCTAGTTACTTATTGATATTTACTTCTATTTTATCCTTTGAATAGTTCAGGTCAGAGTTTTCTAGTTTCTTATGGCTTCTGTGAACACACTTATTTCTGTAATTATTAGATTTACTCTTCGAAGTTTTCTTATTCCTCTTTGTTGAATTTTGTCCTGGCTTAAGTACTATGTTGACATTTAGGTTCTCTGCCATTTTCCTTCAGTGGGGACAGAATGAATTCTTGAGAAATGCAATCTGTAATTTAGATTCAGAGTTTCCTTCTTAAATTATTCATCTTGTTGTGGAAACATAGCTTCGTACCCACTTTCTTCCCTTCTCTATATCTGACTGAAGTCTTACTCTCCTAAATAATAGGAGAGAGAAAATTAACCAATATAACCAGCATTTATATATGTATTTGTTGCTATGGATATAGTTCATGCTTATTGTAGAAAGGCTAAAAAATACAGAAAAATGTCATAGGAATCAGCATATGTTAATTTTTGAAAAAAAAAGATTTCTCTTGATGTATGCCTGGAACTGCCTTAATGAACACTTGTTTTTCTACTGTAGGGTGTCGTAGTGTAAAGAGTACCAGCCTTTAGAGGTCTGATGTTGGTCGAGTCAGTACTACTGTCTGTTTAGTACTTTCCAGTTATTTCACACAGATTTGCTTATTGGCATTCAATAAGCTTGGTAGAGTACGTATTAATTATCCTATCTTACAGATGAGAAAGCCTAGAGGACCATAGGTGAAATGATTTTCCCAAAGTTATTTGGTAGAAAATGGCAGGGCTCGTGACTCCAAATCCAATGCTTGTGCCTTTTTGAACTTTTGTTTTAATCTTTAAAGTGGGACTAATTATTCTTTCCCTTCCCTCATGCATTGGTGTGAAGATCAAAGGGGATAATGTGTATAAAAGCACTTCGAAAGTGGTGTAATTTTATATAAATGTATTCAGTGGTATTATTATAGAAGGCACTACTGCTGGCCTGAAGAGTTTCACTTTATTTCATAAACTATCCCAAGAGTATTAATCTCCTCTGGGAGAACACTGAATATTCTCTTGATGCTCAATCTTCTAAATTATCCTTTGCTACTTTAATTTGGCTGTAGAAGCCTAGTAGAAGTGTCTTCCACTCAAATGTTTTGTTACCCCAGAATTTCTAATCAAATTTCACGGGTAGTTGTAATGCACATTTTTGTTTCCCAAAGACAATGTTTAAACTAAGGAGAGAAAGACAGTAGAGGTTGGCTTTTAGGACAACTTGAGTGACCATTCAAGGTAGGTCTCCCTCTGTGCCAGCTGGGGAATGTCGATTTGAGATTATAACATTCTTGTTCAGATAATGGGTCTAGGTTTGCTCTGGAGACTCCTGGTTGTGCTTAAGTGCGGGGGCTAGCTAGCAAGCTGATTCATATGCAAGCTCAGCTCTGAAGGTGCTTAAAACCAAATGTATGAGAGAAGTTTTGGTACAATTAATGGAATCCAAAACACTTGAAAAAAGAGCTTCAAGGTGAGGATGGAGTGGATGTGCTGTTTGTCCTAATTTATGCCTGCTTTCATTTGGACTAAATATGGTGCTAACGGAAGGGATTGCTGGTTTATACAGGGAGGTGATTATATATGTACGATGGGGGTTGGGAAACATCTGGCCTGAGGGCTGTATAAGGCCCGAAAAATCATTTGGTCTGGCCCTGCCAAGACATTAGGGGCGAGTTAATGAAATGTTTGACCAATTATAAGCAGGATAACTTTTAAGTTGATAATTTTGTATGGCCCTCGATGTTGTAAGTTTGCAAATGACCCTTGGCAGAAAAATTTCCCACCCCTGATTAGGACATTGGGGCCTTATGATTTAGTGTCTGTCAAACAGTTGTGGTTATAGAGGTGATTCAGTAGTGTCACAATTTGCTACAAGAAATAATTTCCTGAAGGCAGTGGACATTCCATCTCTAGGTACTGGTTTGGTTTTGAGCCAGTCCCCTAGAGAGAGAGGATTCAGTGCTGGCTAATCCAGAGATTTGGGCCCAAATTAAGGGGCAGGGGCTGGGACATTTAGGTCACAATTATCAAGCTAATGACCATTTACTTCATCAAAATCCCTACCACATCAGATTATCATTTAGTGGTTATTAGGGTCTCAAAATGCCTGCGACTCAGTAGGACAGGAGGTACAGTGTAAATGTAACAGAAGAGGGGCATGGCACACCTGAGGATATTTTTTCCATTGATTTTTAGAAAGAATGGGAGAAAGAGAAAAACATCAATGTGAGACACACATCAACTGGTTGTCTCCCACATGAGCCCCGACCAGGAGTGGGGAGCAAATTTGCAATCCAGGTATGTGCCCTTGACAAGGATTTGAACCCGAGATCCTTTGGTGGGAGGGCCAATGCTCTAACGACTGAGCACACCGGCCAGGGCGAGGGGCATGGCCTTTAAAGAAACGTAATTTTAATCAGTAATAAGATTTGTCAAGTTTCTTTAAATTTCAGTTTATAATTTTCTTAAATACCCACCCCCCAATTAAATTTTTCATTTGGGTAAATATTAAGCCTTCAGGATATAGTTAACTGTGAGTTAACGGTTGAATAATATTTTTTAAAAGTAATTTTCAGGGCATATATAAATTAGGCTTGTGATAAATGTCTTCTAAAACTAGACTTTTACAAGGGATAAGCATACACTGAGGACTTGAGAGTAATGATTATTTACACTAGTAACAATAATGGTTAATATACTGAGCCAATCTTATGTATGAAACACTATTCCAACTACTTTGTATTATCTCATTTAATCCTCAACCCTATGAAGTAGGTAATATTATATATTACTCTTTTACAAATGAGAAAACTGAAGCACAAGATTAAGCCCCAGAAATTTGTTGCATGTCATACAGCTAAGGAAAAAACAGCAGGTCATACTTTTAACCACTATGTTAAGGACATGGTTATACAGATTCTGAAAACTATTCAATAGGAAGAATTACTGAAAAATTAACAGATCCATCTCCTTTTTTAAAAATTTTACTATATGGGATTTTTAAATTTTCTCTTTTAAGTATCAATTTGATCCCTTCTGAATGTGTAGGAACAGAATGAAGAACTATAATTCACAGTCTACATTTTTAATTAAATCTGACTTGCTGGCTTAATGTTGTTAAATTGTATACACTGGGGCAGCTGCTGCTCTTGGCTTCAGCAGTAAGCAGGCTTTTATTTTTCAAAGGCAAGGATTGTTTCTTTTAATGCATATAAATGCATGATTGTTTCTGTTTTGCATAGCTTTTGGTCATGTTTTATTCATATGCACTGTACTTAATAGGTGTTGGAATAGATTTCAGAGAATTTTATTTTAATTTTTTATTTATTGATTGGAGTGAGAGCCAGAGGGAAGGAGAGGGATGGAGGGAGGGAGGGAAATTTGTTCTACTTATTTATGCATTCATTGGTTGATTCTAGTATGTACCCTGACCAGGAATCAAACCCAAATCCTTGGTGTATAGGGACAATGTTCTAACCAACTGAGTTACCTGGCCAGGGCAAAGAATTTTTTAAATTTAAACCTTGGTGTATAGGGACAATGCTCTAACCAACTGAGTTACCTGGCCAAGGCAAAGAATTTTTTAAATTTAAGGCCTGGCACTTAATAGTCTTTTCATTTTAGGACAAGGGTAAGGAAAGGAAGATACCTAGAACAAAACAATGGATTTAACTAGACATAGATGTTCATTGATAAGAATGTCTGTCTCCTCATAGTTGTTAAAGCTCAGAATTGCAGTAGGGTAGAATTGTTCATTAAAGACCTATCTTTTATATCTGAAGAATATCCTTCCTTCAGGGTTTAATAGACCAAGTTAGATGGGTTGGTGAGTATACACTTTTGTTACCTGTACATAGTTCTTGCATTTGTGTTTCGTTTCTTGGTTAAAGCCGTGTTAAATAGGAGGGATTTTGAAGGGAGAAGCCCTTTGTTTTCCTTGCTTTGTTTTAATAAGCAATATATTCTTTGCTTGGGGGCGGGGGGTGGTGGTTAATAATGTCTCCTCCTGCCTGCCCCTGCTGCTCTTTCCTCCCCAAGCAAAAACAGATCACAGAATACCTAACTCAAAACAATGTTTTTACTTGTTTTTCTTTCTTGGTAAAGCTATGCACTGAGTTTTTTGTTTTGCTTTTTGGGTGCTTCTGGCAGAGGAGGCACTGAATGGTGACCCTTCTAACAGTTTTAGTATTACGTGCATGACGCATTTTGAAGATTCTGACAAGTTTGGGGATTCCTGCTCTTGTAAGCTTGAAGGCTTAAAATGAGGCTCTGAACCAAATTAAAGGAATTTGGTTGTGATTAACACCTGAATATTTACTTGTGTACAAATGTAAAACAGGCAAATTTCCCATGAGCCCAGGAGGCACTGTCCTCATTGTATTTTGTGTAAATAATCCCACTTCCTTATTTCATAATGAGTTGAATATAAAATGGATAGTGGAAGAAAGGATCTAATTTCTAGATTTCTATACAAGTTGGGATTTGGGGTAAGGCAGACCAATGCTGGTGTCAATTTTGTAATGGGCTTAGATGTGTGTTGAGACTGCTGTATTAAAGAACTTTTGAGCAACATAGAATGTACTTTTTTTATTTATTGCGGTAAAATATACATAACAAAATTTACCTTTTTAATATATATTTTTTTAAACAAAGATTTTCATTTAACTGTGGAGGCCCCTCTGGATGTTAGCTGAGTTACTTGGTTAATGGTTTTGAATACTCAAGCTCTCTTTTGGTGTGGGAGCTGTTACTTTTGAGTTTTGAACGCAATTTAATCTTGTTTAGCTGAGTTTGTTTATTGACCTTTAAAATGTAGATATCTTTTCTGTATAGCTTCTGACCCTCACAACCTTTGATGATTTGGGTTTTTCCATCAGCAGTTGTAAGAGAGCCCTGAAAAGAGGCAGTCAGTGCCCCCTGGGAAGTGTCAGAGTGAACTGGGACAGAGGAGTTTCTGCCATTCTCTCCTCCTAAGTTTCCACTCAGTGGGGTCTGGTTACAGAGTGTTGCCCCTTTCTGGCTAACAATCCCCTGGATATTTGAGTATTTACCCCCCCACCTCCTCCTTTTTTAACTTGAAATTGGAAGCAAGAGATGCTTTATCGTTGTTGTGAATGCTACTGAGAAACTTGGCTCGGAAGGTTGCTTCAGTACTGTTGCAAGTTCTGTCTAGGGATGTCATTAGGGGTGTTAATGGAAGCTTTAAACAAAGACACTTTCCAGGTGCTGGATTCTGCCATCCTGTAAGTGTGCTCTCTAGAGAATGTATTATTCATCATGGTTATGGAAGGCGTGGTTGGCAGTGCAACAGCCTGCAATAATTGCACCATCTAGATCAAGAAGACCGGAGCCCTGAGACTTAGAGATGAGAGCAACAGCTTTAGTAGGTTCTGCAGCTTCTCACTGTATCCATCCTTAAGAACAGAACAAAAGAACTGAGGTGAGTAGGGATGGTAAGAAAGGAAAGAAGAAATTAGAAAGCAAGCCAGCCATTTTAATTGTTTCATTTGTGGGAGAGCCTCAGGAAACAAGTGGTAATGATGCTTTTGAATTATAAGAATGGCATCTTTCCACTGGCCCAGGATTCCTCAGAAAATTGGTTTGTGGAATTTTATTGCGCAGGTGAATTTTGCTGAGTATCGGGTTAAGTGCTGATTAGAATGGGTGTGAGTAGTTGGCCTGTCTTTCAAACAACTTACCTTTTCTGTTTTAGTCGTGCGCCTCCCCGCCCCCCTTTTTTTTGGTAAATTTGAAAGGGATGGTTATGGGTCTAATAAGAATCTGGAAGATTTATATTTGGAAAGTTGAAAGCTCTTGATTATATTTTTAGTTCTATAGATCGGGCATGTTTATTTAGGATTGCATGTGAGATAGAGGAGGGAACAAAGCTTAAGAGCCTGACTTTATGGTATTGATGTATAATGTGACCTGGGTATAGTTTAGTTTGCGGGTGTGTGGGCCGGGGTGGGGGATGCCCTTTGGACTCTGGCCAGTGTGGCTCAGTTGGTTAGAGCGTAGTTACGTATGCCAAAGTTTCGGGTTTGATCTCTGGTCAGGATACATACAAGAAGCAACCAATGAATGCATAAATAAGTGGAACAACAAGTTGATATCTCTCTCTCTCCTTCTCCCTCTCCCCCCTTTTCTCTCCCTTCCCCTCTCTCTAAAATCAATCGCTCAGTCAATAAAAATGCCTTCTGGGACAGTTGGCAAGATCTGAATAAGGTCTGTAGATCAGATAATAGAATTGCTTCAGTGTTAATTTTCTGATTTTGATCTTCACTTTTAGGATGTACACACTGAAATATTTCAAGGTAAAGGGGAATTGTGTCTGTATGGCCAAAAATATATATATATATATATACACACACACACACTTTAGAGGGAGAGATAGAAACATAGATCAGCTGCCTCCTACACACACCCCCACCAGGGACCAGCCCACAACTGGGCATGTGCCTTGACCAGGAATCGAACCAGTAACCTCTTTGGTGCATGGGACAATGCTCAATTCACTGAGCCACATTGGCCGGGCTGTCTGTCTGTCTGTCTCTCTCTCTCTCTCTCTCTCTCTCTCTATATATATATATAGTCTAGATATTGCTAAGTGTAGAGAGACAATAAAGCAAATATGGTGAAATAGTAACATTTAGTCTGGGTGAAGGGTATGTTAAAAATCCTTTTTGCACAAATTTCCTTTTTATGGAGGTAAGAACTTTACTCTTTTTAAAATTGTGAATCACTTTTTAGTTCAGTTCTAAAATGCATTAGGTAGTAAGAAAACTGAAACACCAGTCAGAAAGAATGTATGCACCCCTATGTTCATAGCAGCACAATTTACAATAGCTAAGATCTGGAAACAGCCCAAGTGCCCATTAGTAGATGAGTGGATAAAAAAGCTGTGGTACATTTACACCATGCAGCAGTAAAAAAGAAGGATCTCTTACCCTTTGAGATAGCATAGAGCAGTGGTTCTCAACCTTCCTAATGCCATGACCCTTTAATACAGTTCCTCATGTGGTGACCCCCAACCATAAAATTATTTTCGTTGCTACTTCATAACTGTAATTTTGCTACTGTTATGAATCGTAATGTGAATATCTGATATGCAGGATGTATTTTCATTGTTACAAATTGAACATTATTAAAGCATAGTGATTAATTACAAAAACAATATGTAATTATATATGTGTTTTTCCGATGGTCTTAGGCGACCCCTGTGAAAGGGTCGTTTGACCCCCAAAGGGGTCGCGACCCACAGGTTGAGAACCGCTGGCATAGAGGGACCTGGAGAGTATCATGCTAAGTGAAATAAGTCCATCAGAGAAAGACAAGTATCACATGATCTCATTCATATGTGAATCTAAGTAACAAAATAAACGGATGAACAGAGTGGATCCAGAGACATGGAAGCATGGAACAGAGTGCGGAATCTCGGAGGGAAGGCAGGGGTGGATGGGTGGGTGGGAAATAGTCAACCGAGAACCTTGTATGCATATATGCAGGGCCCATGGCCACAGACAATGGAGTGATGAGGGCCTGGGGTGGGGGTGGGGGTGAGCTGGAAGGGGGTAAATGGGGGAAAAGTGGGGACATATGTAATACTTTCAACAATAAAGAATTATTAAAATAAAAATTAAAAATTAAATGCATTAGGTAGAAAGCTTCTACATGTATATTTTTAAAATGCAAGTCCTCGTGCAGGCCTTTATAGTTTTTTTGTTTTGTTTTTTAATCTTTGAGGTTCTATACCTTTGCTGAGGGAATTCTGTAGCATCTTGAAACAATGACATAAAATTGCTTTATGTTCCATTGACTAGGTTGCTAATTGAGAATTTCTCAAAGAAACAACCTTTTAAATCGCCTTCTGAAAGAATAGAAATAAAATTCTAATAATGAAATACTTTGGGGAGAGGAAGATAGGTTTGTTTCCTCTGCGTCCTTCAAAATGGTTGATTATGGGGGGGTAAATTATGGGAAAAATTATTAATAACTAAAATTGTTTATTATGATTGCAAATGTATTCTAGAAGGAAATATATAAAAATTAAGATGGTTGTGTTAGAACTGGGGTTTTAAATAGCTTTCATTTTCCAAACTTGTATATTGCTTTTTTAAAAAATATGTATTTTTATTGATTTCAGGGAGGAAAAGATGGGGAGAGAGAGAGAAATATCAGTGATGACAGAATCATTGGTCGGCTGCCTCCTGCACACCCCACATTGGGAATCAAGCCCGCAACCTGGGCATGTGCTCTGACTGGGAATCCAACCGTGACCTCCTGGTTCATAGGTCAACGCTCAACCACTGAGCCATGCCGGCTGGGCTTATGTTGCTTTTGTTTTTATAAGAAAGTTGTTTGTTATTTTGTCTGTACAGGTACCTTTAAAATAATCTTCCTTCCTTTATTTTACAGAGTGGAGACTGTGTCCCACAGACTCGACATCATGAACATATTTGATCGGAAGATCAACTTTGATGCGCTCTTAAAATTTTCCCATATGTAAGTGTTTTGATCTTGTCTACAGTTTCTTTTCCTTTCATATCTTTTTTCCCTCTAGTTTATTAACTTCTGTGTATATATAAACTAACACAGACGCTTTACTAGAATCCTGAAGATAAGCACCCGGATTCTAAGGACTGCTGTGTGATCACTAGAAAGCCATTTAGTTATTCTAGTTACAGTACTAATTGTTAATAATTTTGGGTTTGGCGCTCTTCCCCAGCATTTAAGATTCTCTATTAGTTAACCTATTTTCAGAATATTCTTTTTTTAATTGTTATGTAATGTGCACATATTCCCAGGGAAGGAGAAGAGAGGGAATGATTCTTAGCTTAGAGCTGAGCTTGGATTGGTCCCAGAGTGATAGCTGTTATTAACATTCTTTCCCAGAACCCCCTCCACACAGCAGCACCTGAAGAAGGTCTATGCCAGTTTTGCCCTCTGCATGTTTGTGGCGGCTGCGGGGGCCTATGTCCATGTGGTCACTCATTTCATTCAGGTAAGAGCAATAAATTATAATTGAAAGAAACTAGCTCAGCAGAGTGGTCCAAAGCCTGTACCCCTCCTTAATCCTTTTCGGTAGTTTGGCATCTGAACTCAGCCAGAGTCAGCCTGTAAATCAGGACATATGCAGAGCCATTTAAATTTTCTGACAACTCTGCCTCTAGATACTGAAGTGGTTAGTTAGCTTCGCAAGTCTAAGTGCTGACACTGAGTGATGGTGTTGCTGATATACAAGATCCCTACCCACTGAGTAGAGGCATGATGTACATGCTGGGATTCTTCTCCACAGTAGCCTTTTTATCTTTTCCTCCTTTTCCCCTTTTTTTGCCTGAATGACTGTGGACTACTTAGATACAAAACACTGATTGTACGATTAATTATCAGGAGGGGCAGGGTTGAGACCTTTAAGGATTTGACCCATTTTACTCTCTGATACACTTATATCTGCACGTTTGAGTGAAAAATGCTTCAATAACTCATTTTCCTGTGTTGAGGGAGAGTTTGGGTTTGATCAGCAGGGATAGAAGGGGGACAACTGAGAAATAATAAGTAAGTTTAAAGTTCTCACTAGCCACGACTTGTTGCTTTTAGTGTAAATACAAGGATGTGCCTGTGTTGGCATTGGCACTGCTGAGAACTATCCCACACTCAGATATTACCTTGCAGGGGCTGTGTGAAAAATTATTCTAGATACTCAAAGGACAGGAATTTGATCCCTTGAATTTAGACTAAAACCTAATCTACCTCTTAGGCAAGAGTGGCCCTTTTAAGTAATGTAAAATAAAGTCATCCTCATTATCCATGGATTTCATATTTGCAAATATACCTACTCACTAAAATTTATTTGTAAGCCTAAAATCAGTATTTTTGCAGACATTTGCAATCATATCCAGAGCAGCAAAACGTTTGAGTTGCCCATCATATCCATGTTCCAGCTGAGGTTGAACCAGGCAACACACTACCTTATTTCAAGCTCTCAAGCTGTAAACAATAGTCCGTTTCATGGTCTATTTAGTGCGACATTTCTTTTTTCATTTTTGTGCTTTTTGTTGATAACTTCGCTGTTTAAAATGGCTCCAAGCATAGTGCTACAGTGCTCTTACTGTTCCTAATTGCAAGAAGACTACTATGTGCCTTATGGAGAAAATGTGTGTTAGATAAGCTTTGTTCAGGCATGAGTTACAGTGCCGTGACTGTGAGCTCAATGTTAACGAACAAGCAATATATATCAAAGTGCCTTCAAACAGAAAACACACATAAAACAAGGTTATGTGTTGATCAATTGATGAAAATGTGATTGGTGGCTCCCAAGGACCTAACCTTTTATTTCCCACAGGAGCAATTGTTGAGTATTCACTAATTCATTGTTCATAGTGAGTTTACAGAACATAACTACTGTGGAGAACAATTGAGTATACTTTTAAAGGAAGAAAGGAACTTCAGTGCCTACATACATCCTTAATGATTTCTCTCTTTTTAAATGCCTATAGGTTTTTCCCATTTGCTTTGTAAAAAAAAATTTTTTCTTAGAAAACTAAGGCATGTTTATTGTAGAGAATTTGGATAACAGACTAATGATAAGTAAATGTAAAACTATAATCCTATCACCCAGAAATAACACATGCTCTTAATGTTTTGCTACTTTTTATTGTTGTTAATCCTCACTGGAGGACATTTTTAGAGAGAATAGAAGGAGGAGGGAGGGAGGAGGAGAGAGAGGCAGGGAGACATACTAGTAAAGACATCAGTGTGAAAGAGACACATCTATTGGTGCCTCCCGCACTCGCCCCAACAGGCCAGGGAGAGAACTTGCAACCCAGGTACCTGCCCTTGTGCCCTTGACCAGGAATCGAGCCTGCAACCCTTCTGTGATTGGGTGGGGACACTCTAACCACTGAACCAGGGCAGTTTGGGTACTTTTTTGATACTTACGCTTTGTCTCAGTCCTTTTAGGTTGCTATAGCAGAATACCATAGTCTGAGTGGCTTAAACAACAAACAGTTCTTGTAGTTTTTTAAGCTGCAAAGTCCAAGGCAAAGCTCCAGCAGTTGTGTTGTGTGATGAGGGCCTACTTCCTGGTTCATAATCGGCCATCTTCTCGCTGTGTCCCCACATGGCAGAAGGGATAAGGGAGCTCTCAGGGTTCCTTTTTATAATGGCACTAATCCCCTTCATGAAGGCTCCACCCGTATGGCCTAATCATCTTTCAAAGACCCTATTTCTAAATATCATGTTGGGGGTTAGAATTTAAACATGAATTTGAGGTGGGGGACACATTCCGTTTATAACACCCTCTCTCAGTCTCTTTTCTCTGTATGTGTACACGTATTTGTGTTTTAAAGTGATCAAAAAGGGTCATTTCTACTTGTTCTACAGATTGGAATGTGCTTCTAGCACTTGTCACTTTGATTCATTTTTTCCTCTTTCTTGGGCAAGACTCATAGTTGGACTAGGATAGTTGTGGTTGATGGACTACCCAGGTCAGAAAAGCCTCCAGCATCCACCATGGTCCTAACCCTGTCCTTTAAGTCTCCTTTTTATCCCCCATGCCTGTTCCACTGCCTCCAGGTTAGAAGCAAATATTAGGAAGTTGAGATGAATAATTGAATCTAATAAAGTCTCTTGCAAAATCAATTCGATGCTTTCAAGTATTCAATTATGACTCTGGATCTGACAGGCTGGCCTGCTCTCTGCCCTGGGTTCCCTGGGGTTGATGATTTGGCTGATGACAACACCTCATAGCCATGAAACTGAGCAAAAAAGACTGGGACTTCTTGCTGGATTTGCTTTCCTTACAGGTATGTATGTTACAGGATTGGTCTAATTTTGGGGTTTGGAGGGTGGAGACTGTATATTTTAGTATCTCTTTAGACCAGGGTCCGAGACTTGTATTTATTCTGATTCATTCCAACTGGTACACTTACTATCCACCTTTATATATTTGAATGTATTTTGCCTTGTGCTGCTTTCTTATTTCATGTAGGTGCATCTTGCTTCCCCATCCAGAGGGTAAGCTATTTGTGACTAGTGACTGATGTCTATTTTTATATCCAAAAATAAGCATTTGTGTGCTTGAATGAATGAGGTTTAAGAGCTTAGGTAGCATAACTTGTTAATGATAGACATGGGATTAAACAAGGCCCAAGAATCTTAGTTGGACTCATACTGGCAACTTTCATAGAAGCATCCATCTATTCTGAACCTTGCAGACAATTAATTAAAGCCATACATTGAGAACCATCACACAGGGCCCTTTGCTGATCTCATGAAACAAATTAAAAGCACAGCACTTCTGGAATTATCATTAAGAGAAACCAGACTAAAGCTACACAGTAAAAATACTTGCAAAGCAGCATTTGAGTTAGTACAACTTGTTCTGAGTGAGTCTAATCTATACCATGTTGAAGAAATTGTAGAAAGGCAGGGATTTAGAGATTAAGATTTTTAGATGAGGGAAACTAGTTTTTAAACGCATTTTGGAGTGGAATCAGAAGAAAGAAGAGTAGCCAAAGTAGAGGCAATGTCGGAGCCAAACAGGGTGCTGCTGTGTCCTCCTGTTGGCACATGTCACCTGCAGAACTGGTCTGGCCTTTTTTGCTACAAAGAGAGTCAGTCCTGGATGACTACAAGGTTGCTGGCTACAAGGCTCTGCTTTACTCTTAGTCCTTTTTTTCTAATCTAATTCCTGATCTGGCCCACATTACAGGCCCACCTCACTCCTCTTCAAATGTTTGACATCCTATTTCATTTTCCTAATCTCTGTTCCTCCTGGGGGTCATCAACGATTTTCAGCTAAGAGGACAATTTTGCAGCTCTGTATAAATAAATAACTTGGTCAAGTTTAAGTTCTCTTGAAAACAAGGAAAATGGAGAGATTTAATTACTTTAGTCCACATGTTTTGTCTGCGTTTTTAGGAGAATGGGCATGCTTATGCTATTTAATAACGAGCTTTTGGATGAGGGTCCTCTTCAAGAATGGATAGTAGTGCCCTAGCTGGTTTGGCTCAGTGGATAGAGCGTTGGCCTGTGGACTAAAGGGTCCCGGGTTTGATTCTGGTCAAGGGCACATGCCTGGGTTGTGGGCTTGGTCAGACATGCAAGAGGCAGCCAATCAATGATTCCCTCTCATCATTGATGTTTCTATCTCTTTCTTCCTCTCCCTTCCTCTCTGAAATCAAAAATATTTTAAAAAGAAAAGAATTGATGGTAGTAATGTGCTCTGGACTTTTTTGTTTTCTAGGGGTTGGCCTGGGCCCTGCTCTGGAGTTTTGCATTGCCATCAACCCCAGGTAACTATTTTGATAGTGTCTTATTCTTTCTACTTTTGTAATGTACCTTCTAAATATAAACTGTATTCCTATAGCCCTCAATCTAATGGTCTTTTCCTTAATAGCATCATTCCCACTGCCTTCATGGGCACAGCAATGATATTCACCTGCTTCACCCTGATTGCTCTCTATGCCAGACGCCGTAGTTACCTCTTTTTGGGAGGTAAGTATGGATTGGAAAACAGGGAGAGGGTCTCCACTCTAGCTAGGATTCTCGCTAGATCTATTTCCCTACCCTCACCCCCCCAACTTGTGATTATTGGGTTGAAGTAGGAAGCCTTCATTTGGGCAGAAATGTAAGGAATGGCTTTAACTGGATTGCTTTACTTTACTTTGGCTCCTCTCACGATGGCTTTTTGTCATCTCTTATAGGTATATTGATGTCAGCCATGAGCCTGATGCTCTTGTCTTCCCTGGGGAACCTTTTCTTTGGATCCATTTGGCTTTTCCAGGTGAGTCTTTGCATGTAACTTTCTAGTGGCTATTTGCCTCACACTTTTTCTTGCTTAACCTTAAAGCAAGATAGACCAAGAATCCTCACCTTGTTGGGCAGTGCCCTTGAAGCCTCCCCACTAACTTCCACTAGGATGGAGCCTTCTATGGGTAAAAGTTCAGATTAAACAGGGGTTGCACGTTGCTAAGGAGAAGACAGTTTGCTCAGAGATCATTTCTCTAAGGTCTCTCCAGCCAGCAGCTCATTGTTAAAATGATTGACTCTCTTCCAGTGACCAAAACAATTAGTGCATAATTGTGCTGACAGAAGTAATGAGGTCTTCGCTATAGGCTTCAGTTCCCAAGAATGTCAGTGTCAGTGGATTAGCATTCGATGTTCTTTCAAGTGGCCACGAGCCAGAAAGAAATACAGCTTTTTTCCTCCGTGGTGTCTACCAGATGGTAACCTCATCTCATTCTTTTGCTAGGCAAACTTGTATTTGGGGCTGATGGTCATGTGTGGCTTTGTCCTTTTTGATACTCAACTCATTATTGAAAAGGCTGAAAATGGAGATAAGGATTATATCTGGTAAGTATGAAAACTGGTCTTTAACAAGAATGAAGGGTGAGGCAGAATGGAGCAGAAACTATGCTATTTGGCACATTGTTCCAAAACCATGGGTATCCTCCCACTTACACCCCCAAAGCTTGGCCATAGTTTCTTTAAATTCCTGAAAAATGTCAGATTTTTAAAAATTGAACGCCTAATGTGTTCGTTTGTTTTTTAAGGAGTTTTTATTTTATTTTTTGTTAATCTTCACCAGGAGATATTTTTCCATTGATTTTTAGAGATAGTGGAAGGGGGGGAGAGAGAGAGAAACATTGATGTGAGAGAGACACATCGATTGGTTGCCTCCTGCACACGCCCAGGCTGTGGTGGAGCCTGCAGCCGGGGTAAGTGCCCTTCACCGGAATCAAACCCAGGATCCTCTAGTCCGCAGACTGATGCTCTACTCACTGAACCAAACAGGCTAGGGCTCCATACTTTTAATAGAGGAGAAGGAAAGGGACCCTTTACCTTTTATTCTTTATACTTTTGTATTTTTTAAATCTTTAATAATGAGAGTATATACCCATAGTTTTTAAAATATATGTATTTTTTCATGTTGAAATTCTCTCAAAGTTAGTGGTAGTTCAGGGTTTAGAGTTAGGCCTAAATTTCTTTTTTTCTATGTTACATGGCTTCATTGAGTTGAAAGGATTTCTGACAGTTTTACTTCCTTTGTTGGTGGAAGTACTCGTGGGTGGGGGCTTTGTGTTTTGTATCTTTGTGTAAAGGAAAGTGGAAGTGCAGTTTGTGATCTGGTTCTCTTTCAGGCACTGTGTTGACCTCTTCTTAGACTTCGTTACTCTCTTCAGAAAACTCATGATGATCCTGGCTATGAACGAGAAGGTCAGTCAGCCCACTACCCAAAGCTGAGAGAATAGCTCCTGAGCTCAGTATGTGTGTGTACTTGGAATTTGAAAACTAACTTACAACTGTGTAGGTCCAGGGTTATATAATGCAGGCCATTGAGTAAGAAGTAAACCTGAAGTCTTTAGCTAGTGGAGCCAAAGGAACAAGTAAAAACAGTCCTTTAAAAAAATAAAATAAAAAGCACAAACTAATCCTAGTATCAAAGTGAAAAGAGCTTCAGTGGTAGCAGTCTATATGAAGAATATAAAGGCTATAAAGATGGTTATGACTCAGAAAAGAATATTCTAGAGCAGTGGTCGGCAAACTGCAGCCCCTTGAGTGTGGCTCTTCCACAAAATACCACATGTGGGCGCGCACGTACAGTGCGATTGAAACTTCATGGCCACACTCAAGGGGCCAAAGAGCCGCATGTGGCTCACGAGCCGCAGTTTGCCAACCACTGTTCTAGAGGATAATATTGGCAACCAGCTTTTGTAATTGTATTTCAGAAGTAGGCCAATTTATCCATTTGTTGGTCTTGGATTTTTTTCCAGAGAAGCATTCTGTCTGTGTCTGGTTAGTCTACTCCAACAGCAGGGGAACAATGAAACCACAAGCTTTTCTTACAGTTCTTACTGTGGAACAAGACACAGTGCAGTGGTGGTGGAAGCAGGTGACTAGTTGGGTTTGCTGGTTCTTTGGTCTGTGCCACAGTTGGACTGAGCACCAAACAAGTGTCCCAGTTTCAGTCAAAGCAACTCATCTTTCATTTGTTTAATACACTGAGCTTCCACCTAAGATTTACTGAAGAGTTCCCTAGACTAGAATATTTCTGAATGTTGGTTTATACCCAGGATTTATGCTTCCTTCTCAGGCCTAATGGCAAATTGGTGGTCTTGGCCTTGGTCTTGACCTCTTTAGTTCTTTTAGGGTAGACTGCCAGGCTGCAGCCTTCACTGATTGGGATCTGAGCTGTGGTGGTTGTGAGTAGCCAGGAGTGGTTCTGTGGCCCGCCTAAGTATTCTTGTGGTGGGAGTAGGAACAATTGCTTGAAGTTTAGTCTTACTAAGTCTGTCAGCAACTTGGGGGTCCACCAGTGGACCAACTGTTAGGCTAAAGAAGCATTTCTCATTCCTTTTTATTGTTGTAAGCCCTTCCAGTCCCTAACCAAACGCAGCCAGTATTGGCTCAAAGAGTTTTAGTTTGAATGTCTGATGTCAAAAATTAATTGGGTAATTTTTCTCATTTCCAGGACAAGAAGAAAGAGAAGAAGTGAAATGAAATGACCATCCAGCCTTTCCCATTTTGGCTTCCACTCCCTCCGCCCCCTCATTTTCTCTTTGCACACATTACAGGTGGCGTGTTCTGTGATAATGAAAAGCATCAGAAAAGCTTTTGTACTTTGTGGTTTTCTCTATTTTGAAATTTTTTATCAAAAAACTGATTAGCAGAATATAGTTTGGAGTTTGGCTTCATATTCCTGGAGTTCTTCCCCACTCTTTTCTGTCACCCCATCCCTAGCTTCTTAAGAACCTCCACTTAGGCAGCCAGTCCACCGTGGTGAGGAGTGGAACCCGCAGAGGGAGACAACTCCAGGAGTCCGCTTTCCGGCTGAGCTGTACCAAGTGGATCTGAACTGTTTGGTAGAGCCACCTCGGCCCTTCCTTCCTCAGCACTGTGGTTGGTGCCCAGTTCCTATGGGACTGGGTGGTGTATTTTCCTTTGGAAGGAAGTTTGCTGGTCCTGTTGTTACTCTGGCTCGTTATATCTGAGCTTCAGTCCACCCCTACAAAGAACATGAAGAGCCTCCTCTGGTGGATGCTTTGCCTCTTGTGAGCTGCCCAAATCACTGCTGGTCTGGCACACACACCTGTCTGCCTTGCCATCACAAAAGGAATGCGGATCTCTGTGTTGTCTTTTCTGTTTCTTGTCTGACCCTCAGGGAATCTGCCTGCTTTCCATCCCCAGCTGGGAGGACTTCAGCCCATAGGAAGACTGTTCGTGTCAGGCACTTATGAAAGGCTGATTATTTATGGCAAGGTAGAGCCTAGAATTCCCAAATTTCCCCTGGCCTTTATTTTATTGGTTATCACCTTAGTTGCTGAGTGGCCTCCACCAGATGGCTGTGATGAAAGATCCCAGGAGAGGAAGGACAGGGGAGGGTAATGGTTGAGCCTCTACTAATCCTGTCAGATAAACCTAGATAAGGGCTTGTTTGGGACAAAATCTCTACTGAGTGATTCTTTGTTCAGATCAACAGAATGGGGCTGTGATGACTTGGGAGGCAGCATTCATAAGGGTTCTTTGGTGCATTTTTGTGATCTCCCACCTGGTAATGTCCTACCTAATTATAGAAGGTGTCAAGCCAGAAATTTTGGCAGGAGATAATGTTTATTCTACGCATGCATTTTAGTTTTTGGCTGTACACCTGTTTCCATAAATCTGCAGTTTTCCTGGCAGGGCCCAGGTGACCAAACCTGCAAGACACCTGATTCCCTGCAGCTTCTTGGTCACAAGTGGAGGGAGGGCAGTGCTAATAGGACGCCAGCTCCTTCCCTGTGGGCTGCGCAGTCAGCTGACACAGATGGACAGGCCTTGGAGCAGTTGTGGCTCTGGCTACTCACAGGGCTTCAGTGTAAGGGGACTGAGCCGTTGAAAGTTTATTGCCAGTAAGACACCATTTTTGGCTCTGCCTGTTCACACCCAGTACAGTTTGACCCAGTGCCTACTGATTTGCAGTGCACCATATTCCTGAGCCATCCCATGAAAAGATTCATTCCCAGGCTGTGTGTATTCCCGGGGTGGCATGCCACCCAGAATGGCTCACTTCCACGGAGGATGCTGCCCTTTGATTTAGTGCTGCCTCCAGCCGCTGGCTTGAGAACTTACTAAAGGGACTTCCCATTAAACCCCAGTAGCAACTCCATAAATTTGTTGATTCTCTGCTAGGTCTGAGAATGAGTTACATCTCTTGAAGCCAAACTCCACCTCTTGTGCTTTTATGCTTTGGATAAAGGAGTTTTTCTTTAGAAACAGTGCCAAGAATGACAAGGTATTTTTTAAAAAAATAAAAAAATACTTTTAAAGAAAATGTCTAACAGGTTTTTAAACCAGTAATCACTGTAATTACCACTTTCTTTTCTAGTTCATTGGTTTTCAGCTCAGGCTGCATTCTCTAACTCATACTGTGAAGACAAAGGTGTTTTTGATCAGAAATATATGAAATCTACATAGTCTTAATTTGTAAAAAAAAATAATTAAATAAAGAAAATTCCTTAACCTTTCCTGGTGTTAACGTGTTTTAAATTCAAGACTACAGCTGAACATGGGGTTGGGGGACTTACTGGTGGGAGTTGATGGGATAAGATTTGCTCTAGGTGTGAATAGAAAGAAAAGGACCCCCACTTAGGCACCCATTCTGTAGCCCCAGCTTGCCACAAAGGTTGGGGATTTTCTCTGTCCAATATAGAGCCCAGGCCTTTTTCTGGCCCTCCCCTTCCCAACCTTTATTGTAGGTGGTTTGTGGTAGCAGCATGTGTAGTTGGTTCCAGTGTACAGCCACATTGGCCAGGCTCTATTCTAGGCGCTAGGAATCAGCAGTGAAAAACATCCTTTTCCTCGTTCATATATGAGATTATAAACCAAAGTTTGTGTTACAATCTGGTTATTCCGTTTTGGCATGTTTGCCCTTTGGTTATCATGTTCATTGTAGCCACAGAGCTTCCTGTTAGGATTTGACTGTTAACTGACTGGTTTGTCCAGGTTACTCCCAGTTGACCTCTTTGGACTCCACATTCCCTATCCCAGCTGAGGTTAGCCACCCCTTCCCCCAACTTGGAAAGTGTACCTAAAGCATTTTTCCTCTTCTCTCGCTGACTGAAAAACATCAGTCTCAGATCATTTTTACTTTATTGCTCTTTTAGAGAGAGAGGAACATTGGTTTGTTGTTCCACTTATGCATTCATTGGTTGCTTCTTGTATGTATGCTGACCAGGGATTGAACCTGAAATCTTGGTGTATTGAGATGACTCTCTAACCAACAGTGACCCTGGCAGGGCCAGTCTCAGATTGTTTTTTTAATCTTTATTGGTGAAAGTATTAACATATGTCTCCTTTTTTCCCCCTCCATTAATCCTCTTCAGCTTCCTCCCCCCCCCCACCTCGGTGTCAGATTCTTTAAAACCCAATTTTATCTTTGTGCTGCCTTCTATTTTGGGTGGGGGGTAAGATATAAGGCACAACATAGTGCTGACATTTCTTTTTTCATAGTGCTGACATATCAGGCCCTGTGCAAAATGCTTTACAGGTTTTAATGTTCCCAATCTATATATATAAAAGCCTAAGTGACTGGCTGACTGTTCAACTGGTAGTTATGACATGCACTGACCACCAGGGGGCAGACGTTCAATGCAGGAGCGGAAACCACAGGCATGGAAACATGGAACAGACTGATGAATTTCAGAGGGAAGAGGGGAGGGTAGGAAGAGATTAACCAAAGATCTTATATGCATACTAGAGGCCCGGGGCACGTGCACGGGTGGGGTCCCTTGGCCTGGCCTGCGCCCTCTCGCAATCTGGGATCCCCGGGGGATGTCATCGGGTTTCGGCCCAATCCCCGCAGGCGAGGCTGAGGGACCCCACCGGTGCACGAATCCGTGCACCAGGCCTCTAGTAACCTGATAAGGTGGTATGATCAGTAGCTTCCAAAATCATGCCTGCAGGCAGCTGCAGATCAATGTCTAGAAAGAACCAAGGAGCGCAGTCTCCGGAGCCCCAGCTTTTCACTGTTGCCCTTTGTAGGCAACACTGAAGTTAGTGCCCCCTGGGCCAGGGCCATCCTTTCCATCCTGACCTTCATTCTGGCTACAGCTCCAACCTAGATGAAGAGGGAAATATGAGGTGGTTTGAGCAAAATCTCCCCAACCCCAATCTTTGTAACCTCTAAGTCTTTTCCTCAATGAGCCCAGTTACAAATTAAACAGAAGTGGTTAACACAGCTCATTCCATCCTAGCAGACCTGCTGGCCTGAACTAGAGTGAGGAAGTCACTGGTGCAGAAGTTGAAGGACCTTATATGTTGGGTGAAGAGACGGTCTGTCCTGCCTAAGCAGATTAGCAGATGGGGGCATCTCCATGATGGGGATAAAGGCAGCCAAGCGGCCCTAGCTGGTTTGGCTCAGTGACTAGAGCATCGGCCTACGGACTGAGGGGTCCTGGGTTCATTTCTGGTCAGGGGCACATGCCCTGGTTGCAGGCTTGATCCCCAGTAGGAGGCATGCAGGGGGCAGCTGCTCAATGATTCTCATCATTGATGTTTCTCTCTCCCCCTTCCTCTCTGAAATCAATAATAATAATTTTTTAAAAAAAGATAGCTGAGTGCAGGAGAACTACAGGCAGGCATTATGTGCTTCCATGGGTAAGCACGGTGGGCCCTGAGAACAGTGGAAGCAGGGAAGGGTTTTGGAGATGATGCCTGAGCTAAGTAAGGCTAAATCTCAAAGACTGAGTCAAAGTGAAACCCAATGGTGGGAATGGATATTTCCAGGTCAAAGGATTAATATGAGAAAAGGGGCAGGAGCAGGATTCAGCATGGGGAGTGCTGGGTGTGGTCAATAGTTCGATGTTGCTAGGTTGTGAAGTTTGAGAAGACCTAGTACAGGCATACCTAGGAGTTATTGCGGGGTTTTTCCAGACCACCACGATAAAGCAAGTACCACAATAAAGTGAGTTGTCATTTTTTTGATGATAGAGGGTCTTGCCTTCAAATTGTAACAACAACAAAAAAAGGCAACTTCTGTGAACTCAGTAGAACAAGGTGAGCCTGAATTCCATGCTAAGGAGTTGGCTCTGTCCTGAGGACAACAGGAAGCCCTCACTGAAAGGCCACTGAGCAAGGTGTTTGCATTTTCCCATTTCAGGTGACTGGAAAATAACCTGGGAGAGGAGCCCATTGAAAGGCAATTACACTCTTAATGCCCAAATTGTGGTCTCATTACCCACTAAAAGGAACCAGAGCTCCTTGGATAAATGGTGCTTAAAGGTCTGCCCAGGAAATGTACAAGATGAACCTGGAATCTTGTTACTGCAGAAAGCAAAAAAGCTATCAAAGCTGACTAGTATAATTCATAGGGAATCAGAGGCCAACCTAAAGAGGCTCCTACTGGCTACAGATGGGATTGTTTCCTCACTGATAAGAATTATAAGTGCAATGGATTGAAATAAAATATTTAAAAATTCATATTTTAAAAATATCTTACTGATCACCTTTGGAGGATGCTAGAAACCAGTCACTTCTGAATACTTGTTAATAAAGGGAAAGAAACCAGCATTTATCCTTTCTGTTCTGTACTAACTGTACTTCAGGGTAATAAAAAAGTAGTGTAAGTAAAAGTTTCTTTCTATAGAAATAGTCCAACTGATAGACAAAGGAATTACAGGATTTATCACTATTTTGTAAA